CGCACACATTGTTGATGAAATTAAGTGCATCTTGTTCTTAATTCATATCGTGAATTGTGTATGCCTACTTAACCTCTAACAGCATTGATTTAACACTTATATAATAATAATACTAGATGGGCCCCCTTTCGATGAAAGGAATGATCGGTGCTTTGATATCAACTAAAAGTCATTGGCCTACTACATTTTTACTCTACTGGAATGAGGCAATAAATCTTGAGAGTAATGAGAGATGCAAAAAATTATAAGATCTAGATCTATACTCTCAAAAGAAAATGCGCCTCGCGAATTATCACTTCCGGATTTTCTAAAATTACAGAGACAGAAAAGTCGGTCTACAAAAGCGATCGGCGAAATAAAGAAATTTAGCTTTTTGCAGCAAAACCGTCTCAAAACTGAAAAAACCAAGGGCACCATGCTCTGGAGAATATTTTAAAGAATCTTTTGGCGAAAATCACATGTCAGTCGATGCAGCCATTAAAAAGCCTTTAGAATAGCAACATTCGGCCACCACAAATAGATACTAGATCTAGATCTAGATGTGTGATCTTCATTTATCTTTAAAAAAAACAACAAAAAAAACCTTTATTGGCAAAGTATAACTTTTACAATTCGGCGGTTTTCTTGAAGAAGATAAGTCTTCAGCGCCTGTTTCGTGTCGGATCTGTTTAACATTTAACATTTTTATGTGCATTATGAAAAGTTGAATTCTAAAGCTCCGTGCCGGAAGTTTGCATTTTTCGTTCAAAAGCAAAGTCGGCAATTTGGAGGCTGTAGCAACGAGGGTTCGCAAAGGTTGTGTGCAGTCTTTTCTCTTAGCAACAACTAGACCTAGCTTGGTTTTGGAAAGACCTGTACACTTCCCGTATGTGACAGCTCGCTACCTAAGAATTATACAAAGTTCTATCAGGCATTTTTGACTGTTTTGAGTTAGAATGGCATCCACCCTGACCCAAGCTCTCCGGCTGGTGGCAGAGAGACGTCTCTTTCTTCCCGCGACACCCAAAAGGGTATAAGACTAAGAGGCGGATAAAAGTAAAGTAAAAGTTGAGTTAGAATCTAGATCTAGATTTACTACGACATTGAGGCCAGAAACCCAATATATTTGTCTGCTCTGTCAAAATCGTAAGATTACTCGGAGTTGTTAATGAGATATTCAAAGAATTACGTTCAATAAAGCTTGAAAAATATTGTGATACTCTACGTCAAGTTTCTCAAAACTAGGTACTTAGCTGACAGAACTTTCTTATTCTATGGAAGCGAGCTGAAATCGATAGGAGCAGGCTTCAGCCGCCACCGGGCAAAATTCGGCGATTGTTTAGATTCCCGCGTTTAGTTCCGATGTGCGTTTTTTTTTCAGGGTTGGGTTAGGGTCCGGGTTAGGGTCCGGGTTAGGGTTAGGGTCATGGTTAGGGTCCGGGTTAGGGATAGGGTTAGGGTTAGGGTTAGGGTCATGGTTAGGGTCCGGGTTAGGGATAGGGTTAGGGTTAGGGTCATGGTTAGGGTCATGGTTAGGGTCATGGTTAGGGTCAGGGTTTAGGGACCAACGCGAAACATGCCTGAGGCTATTAAAAAAAAAACACGCTTCGGAATTAAACGCGGGAATCTTAACAATCGCCCAAAATTCTAAATCAATTTCTACTATACTGAAAAATGCTTGATGTGTTGCGTGCGCTCTTATGACCTTATGCAGTTGCTTATTTTACTTTTACTTTTATCCGCCGCTTATACCCTTTTGGGTGTCGCGGGAAGAAAGAGACGTCTCTCTGTCGCCAGCCGGAGAGCTTGGGTCAGGGGGATGCCGTGAGTGGTTAATGTTTCCCTGACTCCATCTATCTAGGTCTTTCTCGGTCGCCCTCTAGCCTTAATGCCATCGAACTATATTTGTGTTTTTAGCAATAGATAATCCTAGGCCTGACACAGTTTCACCAGAGCGCCGTTAGCCTGCAACTTTTCGGGGTGACCCGGGTTCTCCTTCACGGCTAGCGTGACGCCTCAGTGGCATAAAGCCACACCATACTTCGTTGAACCCAGCAATCTCCTACTTTGTCCAGTTTCCACACACCGGGACGTGAACCTGGGGTTGGGCTTTGGGAGCACCGTAAAACAATTATTAAAAAGTTTAAAAACTCTCCCAGTCTCCATTTAGCCCACAAATTAAACTGGTAAAATGTAAGTAGGCCTATAGTTGGCATAGTGGGCAGTCCACAAAAAGTACAAGACAATGGCAACAGACGTCACAACAACAGTATGTGTAGAAGTAACAGACGTAACATCAACAGCAGCAACAGCAGCAGCAGATTGAGAATATCTGCATCAACAGGAACAGCAGCAACAGCAACAACAGTGATAACAGCATCTACCACAACAACAACAGCAACAACAACAACAACAACAACAAAAAAAGCAACAACAACAGTATTAGAAAAGCAAACAAGTAAACTTAGTAGGGAAAAAAAGCCAATAGTAGATGCACCATAGCTCCC